CCCTGTCAACGTGTTGCTGAAACCCTCCGCCAGCGTGTATCTGGAGAGTGGAGGTGGGGTATTGACACATCGTGAAGATACGGTGTGTGTGGATGGCCCATGTTGAAGGTGAGCTCGCTGGTGTTTGTCATTAGGTGTGGACGATGTGTACCTGGAAAGTGGATTCACCAGGATTTGATGAACACTGCTGATGTATTGTGTCCTGAGTGAAAGAGACACTTTGTAAATATGTGGAGTAATACTTTAATGTAATATATATAGTAGTGAAGATGTTAAGACATTGGTGAGGGTGTAATAGTGTAGTGTTTATCCCCCCCTTTATTCATTGCACTACTGCTACTACTTGCCACAGCCAGTTTCTTGAAAACTTACCACCGACTTGGGGTTGGATGTAGAAGAGGTTATAACAGCAAGAACCCGGTTACTGCCCCAAGGTGGCCGTAACATTGGTGATCCAGCGGCTGGTGGTGAACCAGCGGCTGGTGGTGATCCAGCTGGTGGTGGTGATCCAGCGGCTGGTGGTGAACCAGCGGCTGGTGGTGATCCAGCTGGTGGTGGTGATCGAGCTGCTGGTGGTGATCCAGCGGCTGGTGGTGATCCAGCGGCTGGTGGTGAACCAGCGGCTGGTGGTGATCCAGCTGGTGGTGGTGATCCAGCGGCTGGTGGTGAACCAGCGGCTGGTGGTGATCCAGCTGGTGGTGGTGATCCAGCTGGTGGTGGTGATCCAGCTGGTGGTGGTGATCCAGCGGCTGGTGGTGATCCAGCGGCTGGTGGTGATCCAGCGGCTGGTGGTGAACCAGCGGCTGGTGGTGATCCAGCGGCTGGTGGTGAACCAGCGGCTGGTGGTGATCCAGCTGGTGGTGGTGATCCAGCGGCTGGTGGTGAACCAGCGGCTGGTGGTGATCCAGCTGGTGGTGGTGATCCAGCGGCTGGTGGTGATCCAGCGGCTGGTGGTGATCCAGCTGCTGGTGGTGATCCAGCGGCTGGTGGTGATCCAGCAGCTGGTGGTGATCCAGCTGCTGGTGGCGATCCAGCGGCTGGTGGTGCCAATGTTTGTGATACAACTGTCGGCGCTGCTTTTGGAGGTGCTTGTGATTCATCTGCTGCTGCTGCTGCTCTTGGTGCTAGAGGCTCTACCTCTCGTGCTACCCCAGCGTAATAACCAAGCCCCAGACCCCTCCCTACAGTGTACTCTCAGGCCCTTCCCCCCCACCAAACACTCGTGAAACCCCCCAATCTGAATCCTTGGGGGAGGGGGGCGGCGGGCGGCGGGAATGGCCAAGTGTCTCCCTAAGTTATAGTCAGCTGCCCCTAACTTGAAAACTTGGCGGCGCTGCGTGCCTATTACCCCCACCAGCGACCGCCTTAATAGGGAGACTTTGTATGCATCACCACCCAACATACAGAATTGATCACGTAATAGAAGCAATGATTAAAGTGATTATTATTAGATAATGAAATATTAAATATTAATCATAATACAATGAACATCATGGCAATAGCAGTACAGAAAACGCTGTAATTGTCAAGTCTGGTAATAACCAACAGGGGTACCACTTCCACTTTCTTGTGGTGGAAGACTGATTGATCATTATAGCATCTGTCATTCTACTAACGAGGTCATTCTTGCGCTTCACATATTGGGAGACACTGACTGTAGCTTCTTACATGTTCCTCCGAGTCTTACGACGAACAAATCCACAAGGGCCGTGACGAGGATTCGAACCTGCGTCCAAGAGCATCCTAAATGCTGCCTTAATCGAGTGAGATACGGCATGGTTAAAAGAGTTGAAACCGAAGTTCTACTGAACTTACTGTTCAGTAGAACTAGAAAAGTAGAAAGTTCTACTTTCATCTCTTTTGACCAAGTCATAGCTCAGTCGATTAAGGCAGCGTCTGGGATGCTCTCGGACGCAGGTTCGAATCCTCGTCGCGGCCCTTGTGGATTTGTTCATTTGATGCATCACGCTATTGTGATTTCTGAGTGTAATGAGTCTTACGACGTTCCAGGAACATTTCCTGTCCGGCAGCTACTCTGGAAATTGACGTTTCGCTGTATTCAGTGGACGTAACCCTTGAGTCTTGATATTACTGGTGATTCCAGTGTTTGGGTCCACGTCGACTGGCCTGTGTCTAAGTGGTGACCTTGTTCAGTGAGGTGTAGCGGAGCATCCCGTCCTCTGGCGGCCTCGTTTAATGAGGCCAGAACTGACCTCGTATTGCGCCGTGTTATTTATAGATCAATACAGACGAGGTCAACAGGACCTCGCTCTGCTAATAAGGTTTGTTTATTTTGCTCCCATACTAACAGACCTTGTTAGCTTGATGGCGGCTGGGGGAGTGTTACGTGTGTGTGCTCACTACGTTGTGCTTGTGGGGGTTGAGCTCTGGCTCTCTGGTCCCGCCTCTCAATTGTCAACCAACTGGTGTACAGATTCCAGAGCCTGCTGGGCTCTATCATATCTATATTTGAAACTGTTTCAAATGTAAATTTGATTTACACACTCACACTCTGGGGGACCAACCGCTGATCCCTCAGAGTGTGTATGGAGTCAGCCTCCACCACATCACTTCCTAATGCAATTCATTTGTTAACTACTCTGACAATTAACAAAATATTCTAATGTCTCTGTGGCTCATTTGGGTACTTAGTTTCCACTTGTGTCCCCTTGTTCGTGTTCCACCCATGCCAAATAGTTTGTCTTTGTCCACCTTTTCAATTCCCTGAGAATTTTGTGTGTGTGGTAATCATGTCTCCTCAAGCTCTCCTGTCTTCCAGCGACGTGAGGTACATTTCACGCAGCCTTTCCTTGTAACTCATGCCTCTTAGTTCTGGGACTAGCCTAGTGGCATACCTCTGAACTTTTTCAAGCTTCGCCTTGTGCTTGACAAGGTACGGGCTCCATGCTGGGGCCGCATACTCCAGGATTGGTCTTACATATGTGGTATACAAGGTTCTGAAGGATTTCTTACACAGGTTCCTGAACGCTGTTCTGACGGTAGCCAGCTTTGCATACGCCGCAGATGTTATTTTGATGTGGGCTTTAGGAGACAGGTTTGGTGTGATATCAACTCCTAGATCTTTCTCTCTGTCCGTTTCATGAAAGACTTCATCTCCCATTCGGTATCCTGTGTCTGGCCTCCTGTTTCCACTGCCTAGTTTCATTACCTTACATTTACTTGGGGGTGAACTTTAGTAGCCATTTGTTGGACCATTCCTACAGTTTGTCTACGTCATCTTGTAGCCTCATACTATTTTCCTCTGTCTTAATCCTCCTCATAATTTTTGCATCATCGGCAAACAATGAGAGGAACGATTCTATACCCTCTGGGAGATCATTTACATATATCAGAAACAGTATAGGTCCAAGGACTGACCCCAGACACCATTGATGTTAATACGTGTGTGTGTGTGCCCTCCACTGTTGGTGTTATCTTCACTTGTAGACACTTTGTTCTTGTTCGACTGTGCCTCGTCTTCATTATATTACATTTACCGGAGATGAAGTCTTGTAGACACCTAACAGACCACTTGAGCAGTTTAGTCAGACCCGCCAGCAGGATCCTGCATCCCTAATCCTTTTCGTTAACATTTGCATCATCGGCGAACTTGGACAGGAAGAAGTCTTATACTTGCTGGGGAAGATCGCTGTCACGTAGACACGGGCTCATATTGTCATGCTGTGCTCTCTGTTGACCTCCTTCACCTTGTACCTGCCGGAGTTTCCTCTTCACCGCCAGAATTTCAACAGCTTTCTCAAACAGGATTTGCGTTTGTTGCGTACTATTGTTATTTACTACATGTGTTCCGTCAGCCTCTTGTTATTCTCCTGAGCTCTTAACAGTGTATGTCATCCCCGAGTTCACGTCTGTTTACTCACCTAGTTGTGCTTGTAGGGTTGTGCATCTGCTCTTAAGCCCCGCCTCAACCCGGGTCAATGCACTGACTTTTTCACTTTTTTTTCTTATTATATTTACATTGAAAGCTGTGCATCGATTTGGCTTCGACAAGTTACTCATCTAGTGTGTGTGTGTGTGTGTGTGTTCTCAACTGTTAGTTCCCGTTGGATCGAGCTTTAGCTCTTGGACTTCACCTTTCTATCCACCAGTTGTCCTATGAAATGCCATTAATAACAAATTCTATCATCTCCATGATTTATATGTTCCTCAGGCCTCCATCAACACACTCTTGTCGCCCTGGGAGTCAATGTAAACATTTCCTCTTCTTCCACTATATCAATCCCCCCCCCCCTTAAATATTTGATACGTCTCTATCATGTCTCCTTATTTTTTAGCACCGTTAGATTCAGCTTTCCGCATGTCTTCATGCATCATTTTTCACAGTTTTGGGACGAGCTACCTTCCAAATCTCTGTACCTGTTGTTGTTGTTGTTTAAGATTCAGCAACTGGGAACCAAAAGTTACAAGTAGCACGGGCTATGGCGAGCCCGTAGTGGACTTACCCGGCACAGGAGCGGGGCTGTAACTGAGCCTCTGTGCCTTTTCACGTTTCCTGATATGCTTTTTGAAGTGAGGGCTCCACGCTGGGGCGGAACACCCTGTGATTGGTCTCAAGTATAGACGTGAACAGAGACCTGAATGCTGCCGTCTTTGGGGCTCCTGAATGTTATAATTTTGGCTGTGTAGAGTATGCTGCTGAAGTCATCATAATCACATACGCTTCCGGAGAAAGACTTGGTCACATATCCACTCTCAAGCCTTTTTTATATGCACTTGCTGGTGTTAAAATCTAGTAGCCATTTCTTGGATAAATTTTGCTAATTGTTATTGTCTTCTCTCAAGTGTTTAACAATCCACATCTGTCTTAACGCTTAACATTAATTTTGTATCGTCTGAAAACATCGACATACAGGACTCAACTCCCGCAATTAGGACAATAATATAACTGAGAAATAGTATGTCTCTCAGCACACTTTGGAACCCATGTGTCTCTCAGCACACTTTGGAACCCATGTGTCTCTCAGCACACTTTGGAACCCATGTGTCTCTCAGCACACTTTGGAACCCATGTGTCTCTCAGCACACTTTGGAACCCATGTGTGTCTCAGCACACTTTGGAACCCATGTGTCTCTCAGCACACTTTGGAACCCATGTGTCTCTCAGCACACTTTGGAACCCATGTGTGTCTCTCAGCACACTTTGGAACCCATGTGTCTCTCAGCACACTTTGGAACCCATGTGTCTCAGCACACTTTGGAACCCATGTGTCTCAGCACACTTTGGAACCCATGTGTGTCTCTCAGCACACTTTGGAACCCATGTGTCTCAGCACACTTTGGAACCCATGTGTCTCAGCACACTTTGGAACCCATGTGTGTCTCTCAGCACACTTTGGAACCCATGTGTCTCAGCACACTTTGGAACCCATGTGTCTCAGCACACTTTGGAACCCATGTGTGTCTCTCAGCACACTTTGGAACCCATGTGTCTCAGCACACTTTGGAACCCATGTGTCTCAGCACACTTTGGAACCCATGTGTCTCAGCACACTTTGGAACCCATGTGTCTCAGCACACTTTGGAACCCATGTGTCTCAGCACACTTTGGAACCCATGTGTGTCTCTCAGCACACTTTGGAACCCATGTGTCTCTCAGCACACTTTGGAACCCATGTGTCTCTCAGCACACTTTGGAACCCATGTGTCTCTCAGCACACTTTGGAACCCATGTGTCTCTCAGCACACTTTGGAACCCATATGTGTCTCAGCACACTTTGGAACCCATATGTGTCTCTCAGCACACTTTGGAACCCATGTGTCTCTCAGCACACTTTGGAACCCATGTGTCTCTCAGCACACTTTGGAACCCATGTGTCTCAGCACACTTTGGAACACACATCCTCTCATAAACAGATCTGTCTCCCAAGGTTTCTCTCTCCTACAGAAGAGCCAGGATTTGGGGGGGGGGGGACGTGGTTGGGTGAGGTCCCACACCACATCCTAAAGCCCAATAGGCTCAGGAACCTGTACATCAGTTGATTGACGGTTGAGAGGCGGGACCAAAGAGCCAGAGCTCAACTCCCGCAAGCATAATTGAGTACATACTTTGGAACTCATATTTTGGAACATTTAGGAACACACATACTTTGGAACACATTTTTTGGAACACATTTTTAGGAACACATACTTTGGAACACATACTTTGGAACACATACTTTGGAACACATACTTTGGAACACACACTTTGGAAGTACATCAAAATATTTCTGGCAGTTCAGAAGACCACAGTCTACCTATCCTCCTGGGTCTCGTCTTATTTCAGTTATTTTATCACATAACTCCAGTAGGCTCATTCGGTATGATTTCTCTACTAAAGCCAAGGTCACGTTTGATAGCATACTTAAACATTCCTAAATGCTTAACTAATCTTATCATTATTCTTCCACGTAATCTGCAATAGATGCATATCAGTGATGCTGGTCTGTAGTTGAGTTCCTCCTCCTTATCTGTGTGTGTCGGTGCTACATATGACATCTTCCAGCTGTTGGGCAACTCTCCAAGTGAGTATACTTGGAAGAGTTGAGGGTGAATCTTGGGCCATTCTCAAGACAATCGACTTGAGAATGGTCCAGGCCGGACCGAAACGTCGTCGTCGTCCCTTCACATTCTAGTGTGTGGTCTGGTCATCAGTTGAGGGTGAATTACACTTGGCGAAGTTGATAGCAGGACGAGAAGGAGAACAAGTGTTGAATGACCTTTAATTCGCCGTAATATATATCAAACAGAGCCCGGGCATTTTCTTTGTTATCGCGTTCAGTAACTCAGCTGTTGGGCGATCGTGATAAGAAATGTAAAATATGGAAGAGGCCGTGGGAGTGTGCCGAGCCTGGTCGGGGCTACAGGTGGTAACACAGGTGGCAGTGTTACTGAGGATAGTACCCCCCCCCCCCCCCAGAGTCTCTGGGACCCCCACACCCGCCACACTACTCCCTCCACATCCTTACAACTATCCAATTCCTGTCTTAGGGCCAACTATACTCACTCTACACACGATGCCACCTACAACAGTTGCCTAGGCCATCCTCCAGAGTGGTAGGGCACCGCTCCCACCCCCTGGAGGTATGTCCAACACCTGCAGATGTGTCCAACAACGTCAGGACAAGTCCAGCGCCGCCGCCACAAGTCCAGCGCCGCCGCCACAAGTCCAGCGTCGCCGCCACAAGTCCAGCGTCGCCGCCACAGGTCCAGCGTCGAACCAGAAGTGCAGGAAATGGCAGACACAAACACTGCCGATGCAGTAATCCAGCACTAGCGGGTGCGGACTGAGATATGACTGGCCCCCCTAGTCAACTTGTATATTCCTCTCTCTCTCTCTCTCTCTCCCTCTATTTATTTATATTATATATATATATATATATATATATATATATATATATATATATATATATATATATATATATACACACACACACACTAGCTGTACCCGACCACGCATTGTTGTTGACTAGGACCTGCCTTACCCTACAGAGTTTTTCATCGACTTGCTTCCATCCTGAGCTGTGGCTGAGAGCTCGGTCGACGTAAGCGTTGACAACACTCCTCTTGTACCTGTCTAGGCAGTCACTATTGGCATTGAGGCACATTCCTATGTTTGTTTCCTTAGTGTAGACTGCAGTGTGGAAGCCTCCGTTCCTTTCTGTGACTGTTACATCTAGAAAAGGTACCTTCCCATCATTCTCCATCTCGTAAGTGAAACGCAACACAGAATTCTGCTTGAATGCCTCCTTCAGCTGCTGCAGATGTCTGACATCAGGTACCTGCATTAAAATGTCGTCAACATACCTGCAGTATATGGCCGGTTTCAAGTCCATGTCAACTAAGACCTTCTGTTCGATGGTACCCATGTAGAAGTTCGCAAACAGGACACCTAGGGGAGAACCCATGGCGACCCCATCTACTTGCTTATACATGTGCCCATCCGAGCTCAGGAAGGGTGCCTCTTTAGTGCAGGCTTGGACCAGCTTCCTCAGTGGATGGTCTTAAACAAAGCCTTACAAACATGGTCTTACTCTTAAACAAAAAGTATAAGTATGAATGTATTTTGTGTGTAAATTAAGTCTTTGAAAATGTAATAAGGAACTACGAAACACGTTTAGGCGTCAGACTAGGAATAAAAAGAATGAATTTTGGAGTTACTTTATCAATTACCCTCGACAGTGAAGAAATACGTAACCCTTTTTGGTTATATCTTACCCTTTTGGTCATATTCAACAACATTATATATATATATATATATATATATATATATATATATATATATATATATATATATATATATATATATATATATATTCACTTTCATGAAGTAACCTGTTGTAATTTATTGTAACCTGTAAGCAATTTGTACCTGTTGCAGTTTGAATTGTTGTATGGGACAGGCTCCAGCCCCTGGCACCCGGCACAACTCTCAGCATTTATTTCAGTTCAGTTATTGTCAGTCTTATCCCATTACATTATTATTGTATTAGTATTATTACTTGTATTATTATTTTTATGAATATTGATCTGAAAATATTTGTATTATAAACGCCTCGTCGGAAGACGAATTACAAATCGTATGAAAGTAAGGTAAAAGGTACGAGCGTATTTGATGGTAAATCTAAATCCATTTCCAATAAGCGTTTTCTGAGGTTTCGGTCGCCCAAGAAGCTTTTTGCGAAGGTTTCTTGATTATCTTGAGATTATCTTGAGATGATTTCGGGGCTTTAGTGTCCCCGCGGCCCGGTCTTCGACCAGGCCTCCACCCCCAGGAAGCAGCCCGTGACAGCTGACTAACACCCAGGTACCTATTTACTGCTAGGTAACAGGGGCATAGGGTGAAAGAAACTCTGCCCAATGTTTCTCGCCGGCGCCTGGGATCGAACCCAGGACCACAGGATCACAAGTCCCGCGTGCTGTCCGCTCGGCCGACCGGCTCCGTCGGTTGCTGATGAGATTTGCATCAGTGACCTCGATTCCAAGATATTTATAAGACTCGCACGTCTCCACGGACACTCTTGATAATATTTCAGTTATCAGGGAGAAGATAACGGGGGAACAGAACCCTTGTTTTATCAATAGTCTCCGTGGTGTAGTGGTAAGACACTCGCCTGGCGTTCCGCGAGCGCTATGTCATGGGTTCGTATCCTGGCCGGGGAGGATTTACTGGGTGCAATTCCTTAACTGTAGCCTCTGTTTAACGCAACAGTAAAATGTGTACTTGGATGAAAAAACGATTTTTCGCGGCGGGGATCGTATTCCAGGGACCTGCCCGAAACGCTACGCGTACTAGTGGCTGTACAAGAATGTAACAACTCTTGTATATATCTCAAACACAGATAATGAATCTGCATTTTGCTATTTTCTTGAAAAATGTATTAAGTAATGCGTGTAGTGTAGATCAAAGGTGCGCCATAAGACTTAAGTATCATCAACATAACACGTCTCAGTTATCAAAGTTTGTACAGGTTATCTTCTTGAGGTTATCTTGAGATGATTTCGGGGGCTTAGCGTCCCTGCGGCCCGGGTTACCTCGGGTGTGAGCCGAGGACGACGACCACTGAACTATACAGCCCCCATACATAAAGAATATATGCAGAACACGTTCAGTGACCTTGTACGACAGTTCCGAGGCAGAGACCCGCGCCAAACAAGCCAACAACAAGGTCACACGGCTGCCAGAACATGACCCGGAAGTTAAAGTGTCTCCAGTTAAAGTAATACTCATTATTTTTTCCTCGAACCACAACCAGTTTCCTGAAAATCTTCCTTCCATTTATTCCCAGGACGGAGGAAAGTGCGCCTTATGCGCCCCCGAGTCAAGGCGGTTAGTGGCGTTCATCCTGGAAGTTTTACAGCTCTGCCTCTGTGGCCGCGCCAGAGGTTGGTCAATCTTGCAACATACATCATTAATTTGTCTCGCTTTCTTGTTGATGAATGATGTGAGGGGTGAGGGTGCGGCCCGCCTCACCACCCCTGGTGCAGGCACCCCTGGTGCAGGCACCCCTGGTGCAGGCACCCCTGGTGCAGGCACCCCTGGTGCAGGCACCCCTGGTGCAGGCACCCCTGGTGCAGGCACCCCTGGTGCAGGCACCCCTGGTGCAGGCACCCCTGGTGCAGGCACCCCTGGTGCAGGCACCCCTGGTGCAGGCAGCGCACCAACAAGAGAGGGCGCCAGCACCCTCTAAGTCATCAGGAGAGAACTGGGGCACCGGAGCCACTATACACACAGCGTACTCTACAAGTTACAACCTGACAGTAACACCTGCGGTAGAGTATTAAAGAAACGGATATAAACAAGTTTACATTCCTCAACGCTGTACCAAAGAGCCCGGGTGCTCCCGTTTCACAGGGGGGAGGGGGGAGGGGTCAGGGGAGAGTGTCAGAGTCAGGGGGAGAGTGTCAGGGGGAGAGTGTCAGGGGAAGAGTGTCAGGGGGTAGAGTGTCAGGGGGAGAGTGTCAGGGGGAGAGTGTCAGGGGGCGCCAGAGGGCCAACAGGACCCCAGGCACGGCGACGCCTCGCCACAATCAATCAGCTCCGAGGCGACAACGCTCCGACCGGACGTCGCCAAAACTTTTTTTCAGTCAAAAAAAATTTATATAATTACTGTGTGAAAATATTCGGGAACAACGACACGTTATCAAGAACGTCAGTCAACTCCGTCACCGAAACCGCTCTTATCGCCGCGTAATATATCTCCAGGAAGCGATAACGCTTATCACTAGAAATGAAGCATTTAATAACGACATTACCCACCTTAGTGGAAACACGGCACGGGGTCGAGGCTGGGAGGGTCACTAGTTGATCTACGCTACTGTAACTTGGTCACTAACTCAAGAGGGCTTGGTGAGCCCATCGTGGGGGCTCTGT